CGAAAAGCCAAAACGTTTTATAGTTGATAATCAGAAAATTGAATTTAAAAATTAAAAAAAATTAAACAGGACTAAACAGGTTTGTCTATCGCCCGTTTCACACTCCTTCTCTGTCTTTTGAACAGAACTGGAGGCTTACCCCTTGTTTCCTGTTTATTTTTAGTTTTCCAGTTTTCTTTCACTCCCAGTATACCCTTGCGTCTTAGTGGCATTAACGCCTTGTTTAAAGTGAAATGATTAAAAAACTTTATTTATTCCTGTAACTCTTCGTGTCTCGTGCAGCGATGGGTGGTATGTGGATAGATCGGCAGGGATCATATCGACAATTATGATGGGAATACCTTGGACTGAACATGTGAGCAACGACGAAGTTTTAGAGAAAAAAGATACAATAAGGACACTTATACTTAACATCAGAAAGAGAGAACTGGAATTACTAGGGAACATAATGAGAATAGAGGGCTTGGAAAATATGACACTCAAAGGACACATTGAGAGACAGAGGGAAACAGCGAATAACCGACCTAGTGGGCTTGTGTAAATGGATGGCAGAACAGGTTTTTGAACAGATAACTAAAAGACAAGGAAATACAAGGGAAGTTATAGAGAGCCATGATCGTCAATCTCCTGAAGAAGAAGAAGAAATCAGCTTACCCACTAGTCTTCTGCGATAGTTGCTTTAATACTTGTAATACGCTGAAACATATATTTTAAGAGTCTTTTTTTATGTACCCACAGGATGTGGACGATCATGGCTCTCGATAACATCCGTTTAGCTCTAAGGAATGTGTGTCTCATTACAATCCTTCCCACTACAATGTTTCCTGCTGACCCTTTGGCCTTCAATACCTTTCAGATTTTCCAAGCACTCTATCTAAGAGTTATTTTCTACCGTCAAACCTCTCGCTAACAGGCGGGATGTGGCGAGCCTCGCAGTGCTCTATCGCGTACTACCATGGAAATTGCACGGACGAACTGCATTTCTTGGTTCCGCCGGCACTAACCTTCACGTCTAGGACTCGCCATGCCACATACATTGTAGCAAACCATCGACATTCCCTCCGTATTCCATTGGTGAGAAGTAAGTTCCACTCGAACATCTTCTTCCCCCAAACCACTGCTCTATGGAACAGACTCTCAAGGTGATGTTTCTACAATCACTACAATCTTAACCTATTCAAGTCTAGAGATGACCGTTATCTTTCCCTCTTATCCGTATAATCTGCTCCTTAACATAACCCTCTACCTCGAGGTGGACCTCGGGTCTTGTACAAAGTGAGCCTTGCTTTTTAAAAAAATCTATATCTGTGGTTCAGAAATTTCAACTGTCTCTTTTTAATTACAAGTGTGCTTTTGTTTCCATGTTTCTTAAAACTTCATTGCTCACGTATTCCGTCCCTGGTATTTTCAGCATCCTCCTATAGAATCACATGTCTGTGACTTAAACTTTCTTATTCATCTGTGAGGAAATTGTTCAGAATTCACTGACATAAAAAAAGGATTAATATATAGCGTTTCAGCACCTTTTTTTTCTTTTTTTTTTTTTTTTTTTCACTGTTTCTAAAGAAACTTTCCCTTGTCATAATGTTTTGGTTGGGTTTTGGAAGGCATCTTTAGCTATTCCAATTTCTGTATCATATTCATAAATCTTCTCTCAAAACACTTCCCGATAGCCAGATTTCTATATTTGCATGGTTTTGACATTAAAGTACGTCACACAGAACTGCTGGGCCTGTTATGTAACCTTGACCTATTTGAGAAGGATATTAGAATAGTCCATAATCTATACTAGTAGCAACCCGCCTGCATATGGATTGAAAATGAATTTAGTAAATATACTAAAACACAAATGGTTATAAGACAAGTATGTGTCTTCTCACCGGACTTATTCAACGATTCTGAAAGAAATAGAAAGTTCTACCAGGATTCATTATTGGCGGCCAAAATCTTAACAACATAAGATGTGCAAATGACACATTATTGATAGCAAACACAGAAAGAAAATGACAAGAACACCTATAAAATTTAGTGGAGGAAAGTGAGAAGAAATTATTGGTCTTCATCTAGTGGTTTTTATCCAGCACTGTAAGGTTGTCGCTGTGCTTTTTTTATAAATACTTTCATAGTAATTGTTCAAAGGAACTCTTCGTTAAGCTACCTAAACAGTATGAATTTAAGCTAGATGTAGCTGTAACTTCTATGCAAACTGTTTTTTTCTCGCACTTCTTGCTTGTGGAACTTCCTTCTGATTCCATGCTTTCCAGCCAAGTTTAATCTGCCAGAATTTAAATGCAATGTCAATCGCTATCTCCTGCACACTTGATTGCTCTTTTCTCTTTCCCCTCATTACTAATGTTTCTGTCCCTAATTCCTCCACACCCTGTAATCCCTTACGTACTAGTGGATGTACTGCCTTGATTGAGATGATACCGATTAAAAAAATTGTAAAATGTGTGTGAACTTGTTTAATTTTATTTCATTTTTTTTGTTTTGCTTTGTCTTTTACAAAAATGATCAGTGGGAAATATCATGACGCCATTTCTGACCATAGGTCTCTGGTTGGGACCCGGAAAGAAAATGTGTATACAACAAAAATCAAAGGAAGAAATAATAATAATAATAATAATAATAATAATAATAATTGTTGTTGTTGTAGCATACCTACGGATGATAATAGGTACGCCCTCATTCCCATGAATACAGTATTGAATACTGTACGTAGTCTAGTGTTGGAGATCCGTCTCCAGTTGTGCTGGTCAAACTTTTTTTCCAGGCAAAGAGGATCCGCAGACAAGGCTATGTCGAAGGGCAGACTCTCGTCTCGGAAAACAGCTATCCGACCCCGTTTTATACGAAGTCAACGGGGAATTTTTGGCCGAGACTACGGGCTCGGATACCCCTCATTAAATTCGACCTCGTGCCACATTGACCGCGTGGGGCGGTTGGTAGATATCCTAGAGTTGGAGATTCATTGTGGAACTCATTTAACTCACTAGTTGACTACTTCTTCTACACGCCGCGAATCTTATATGTGTTGTTCTTGTCCTAAGTATTATCGTTCATTACCAACCTTCGATTGATTATTCTATTCAGTAATAACAATAATAATATAGTGACATTATGTGAATATACATGAAATAAACTTTTGAGTAAAGGCACGTAAAAAATTGAGAATAAACGAATTTTTAATCGGTATTCGCACAAAAAGGATACTTATTCTTAAGATCAGAAAGAGACAAATGATTTCTAGGACATATAATATGGAAAGTGGGCTGAGAAAATTTGACACTCACAGGAGATAGCGAAGACAAAAGAGACAGAGAGAAACGTCTACTAACCTACATAACGAGCCTTCGTAAATGGATGACAGAACAGGGACCCGCAGAATAGTAAGCCGTCAAATCTTGTTTAAGAGCTATGAAGAATACGAAGTTGTGGAGAGCCATGATCGCAAAAATAAGGACATGGAGCATAAAAGAATATGCATAGACTAAACTGGCACAAGGCAAAAAAGGTTGTGCACCCGGTGAGTATTGAATTCGTTATTATAATAATGGTCGGTGAGACGAAGAGCAATTAGTTTTATAACTACAAAATAGCTCTAAAAAATAAATATGCAAATCGTGGCATCACACGAATTTCATATAATTAAATAAGTAGATTTTGAAATGTTAGGAATTTCAAATAATTAAATATGCAAATCTTAGAAACTCACCGATTACACATACTTAAATATGAAAATTTAGGAATCATCCGAGTTTCACATAATTAATTATAGGAATCTGGAATATAATGGATTTCACGCACTTAAATATACAAACCTTGTAATCTCACGGATTTTACATAATTAATTATGCAAATCATGAAATCTCACGGTTTTCTCATAATTAGAGATGCAAATTTTAGTATCTCAGTTTTCACACAATTATTTATGCAAATCTTAGAATGTCACGAATTTCACATAATTAAATATGCAAGTTTGTAATATAATGGATTTCACGCAATTAAATACGCAAATCTAGCTATCTCATGGATTTCACATAATTAAATATGCAAATCTAGGAATCTCATGGATTTCACATCATCTTGGAATCTTACGAATTTCACATAATTAAATATGCAAATCTAGGAATCACACTAATTTTGCATGCACATGAATTAACAAAATCAAACATTGTTGAGGAAAAGACTGAATGCACGTTTAGATACACATACACCAATGGTATAGTTTGAATAGCTAAGCATTTTTTGTTTCAATTGTTTTCAAGATAAATAGTTTTGTTTTTGTTTATTTTTTGTTGCTGTTGTTTTTTTTAATATGCTAACAATTAAATATTTAGTAAGCATTGACAAATCTGGCACAAGGCTTCCATATCTGAAATAAAGGGAATATCGAAATACACTAGAATTAGACTTCTAAATTACTCATTGGCACTCAAATTAAAATAAGAGTTTTCTTTTTTTTTTTCTTTTTTGTGTATAATTAATATACTGACAGTCATAGCACACTTGGTAGCAGTAAAAATAGTTTTCTTCTAAAAAAAAATACTAAATTCTATTTCGTTTTCTTAGTCAGATGTTTCCATCCTCTTTCTCTCTCTTTCTCTTGTCTTGGTAGTTTTCACTTCCTACTCGTTCGTCTTTGTAATTCGCAATATCTACCTACTTCTCATTTCCATCTTCTCTCGCTTTCTTTTATTCTTCAACTGCATAAACTTATTTATTACATTTCTTTTATTACATCTTCCATTTAACTTCTCCCGTTAAAATATTTTTCACTGACATCATGCAACAACATCAATGTCGTCTGCTTCTTTCATATCTACACCCCTCATTACGCCATCACCTTCCAAACGTGGTCCTTTTTATTTAGTATATATTTATTCATTTATTTTTATTTTAACTTAATCCATTTTTAAATGATATTAGAAGGGAATGTTTTTAAGTTTTCAAAACGTTAATTTCAAAACAAAATTACATGTGTAGTTGTGATAACTGTTTTAAAAGTTCTGGTAACGTGGATATAAAAGGCGGGTCCGTGGAGACGAACTCTCCGGCGTAAAATTCCAAGAGAGAGTAGAAAAGAAGATAGAGCAACGTGTAGAAGGTGACGTACACAAAAAGGAAAAAAATCGACGGAAGTAGAAAGAAAGAAAGTTACGAAAACTTTTTTTTATACAAAAACGAAGAGAAAAAGAACTTTGAAAAAAAAATCGCCAAATTTTAGAGAGGTCTAAACGCATATTTCAACTCGTATATTTGTGAATATATATATATATATATATATATATATATATATATATATATAAAGTTTTATTTTGTGTGCGCACATTCTCACACGCAAGTGTAAACTTTTCTAGTTATATAGGCATGCATATACGGTCTATATAGATGTGTGCGTGTTTGGGTACATACGATCCTGAAAAAAGGAGGAGGGAGAAAGTTGGGGGTGATTGTGGGAGAGAGAAGGAAACAGAAGAAGAGAGTGTGAAATCACGTTATCATAACAAAAGAAATAAAAAAACCAACGAAGAGGTACTGGCTAAGTACGTTGGCATGAAGAAAAGTTAGAGTCAGCGCACATCTGCGAGACGTTTTTAGTGGTGGGAGAGAAAGAGAAGCCAAAGATACAAGGTTAGTTTTCCTATCGGACAGTTCCGGAATTGTCAAAGAGCTCACCCAGAGGAAGGAAGGAAGGAAAGAAGGAAGGAAGGAAGGAAGGAAGGAAGGAAGGAAAACGGGACGGGAAGGGAATATGAAAACTTGTCAGTACTAAAAAGATCAGGGGAAATCCGGCCTATCGTAACAACAAAATTAGAGAGTGGTCAAAGAAAAACAACAAAGGCGAAAAGAGATATAACTAAAACACGGGCCCGTGCAAGCAACCAACGCAGATAAAAATTACTCATATCTACTTACTTATCTATCTCTCGCCTTCTCATTCTCTCACCCTATACGTGTGTATATATCTACTACATGCATACAAGCTTTACCGTAATATAAACATCGTATTCAAAACAAAACATAAACAAACCAATCCGAAAGAAAGAAAAAAGAAAAGAAAGAAACCTCGATATTCCGGAAAAAGTAGAAAACGATGCTAACTTTTTCAGTGTTGCGAGCGAAGCCAAACAAAGATAGCTGTTATTACTATCTTCGGCAAAGAAGGACCACAACTCTACACGACACTCAAGTCAGAAGGATGACCCGTTCCATATACAGCTATCTTCTATTAGTTCTCTCTTTGGTCCGTGTGGTCAGGTCGGCAAACACTTATGTACCAGGCCCCGATTATGATAGTGTCTTACATCTACCTAGCGGACCTTACCTGGACATGTTCCCGTTGAGTGGGCACAATTTTACGGAAAAAGTACTCAATTCAAAGGACCCGTGGATCGTGGTCTTCCACGAAGGGGTCATGTCACGTAATTGGAGGGCAATGGCCGAATCGTTGCGCGGGGTCGTCTGGGTTGGAATGATTGACAGAGCTGACGAAAAGGGCTTACTTGACGAAATTGTAAGTGTAATTTTTTTAATCGTTTCCATTTTGTAATTTATTTTGTTTCTTCTATTTAAAAAAAATCGTTTTTTTTTTTTTAATTTTTAAAAATAAGTTATGGTAAAATTTTGAAAAATTAAAAAAATTATATTTTACAATTACGATTTAAGTAATAAATTTTACGGTTATTTTTTGCTTTAACTACTCATTTTTTCAGAGCAAATAAATTTTCTTTGAGTTGACACATAACACTGAATAATAGACGTAAATATTTAAATTGTTTTTCTTATATTTAGAGCACCAATATTTATTCTAAATATATATGACTTTATATTTGTATGCACACGTATATTGATACGAAATTTTTACGCATCCAACGTTTCGCACACACACACACACACACATATATACATACATACAGGCATATATATATATATATATATATATATATATATATATATATATACTTACACAGACGCACACACGAACACACACTATATAGTTAGAATTGGGACCGAAAATATTTATATTTTCTTACTAATCATCACATTCTTTAAAGACATAAATTCACATCGCTGCCCTTTGACCTTAGCTAAATGTCTTATCAAATAGAATGTCTTCACTTTGTTATATCATATTTGTTAGCTTTAGAAAAAAAGTGGGTTAGCAAAATCTAAAACGAACCACTCTCCCATAACTACCATAGCAATGATAGTGAATATAAAAATTTACAATTCTTTTTTTTTCTATTTTGAAGTACAAATTATAATTACAAATTCATTTTACACATATTATATATCTGCAAACAGATATTACAAATATTTATACGAAATTCTCTCCCATACATCGCGTAGCATGCAGACACACACACACACACACACACTTACACATATTCACACATATGTCTATATACATACAGACATATATATATATATATATATATATATATATATATATATATATATATATTATAAATGTACTTATTTAAAATATATATATCTATATATATACATACAGGCATATATGTAATATAAATTTACTCATTTAAAATATGGTTCCATAAGCAAATTTTAAATAAGTATTTTTAAATAAGTATTTTAAATAAGTAAATTTATAATATTTATGCTCAGTAGATTTGTATTGAACACAGTTTTGAATAAAATAAAAATATTAATAAGAACACCAGATTATATATCTTACTGTTCATTCTCTTCATTATGATATATATATATATATATATATATATATATATATATATATATATATATATATATATATATATATAGTCGAGAAATCTAAATGAAATAATAATAATAAAAACGAAAGAATATTAATCTACAACCCAGTGTATCTCAAGATTTTATTTTTCTTAATATTTTTTATTGTTCGAATATATATATATATATATATATATATATACATTTCGAGTAAAAATATTAATATTTTCTGATTCCACCCTTAGTTAAATACATAAATCCACATTACTGACCTTTGACACTAAATATCTTGTCAAAATAGAATGTATTCGCTTGTTATGTCATATTGCTTGATTTATAAAAGAATGGGTGAGCAAGGTCTAGGGCAAACCATTTTCGCATAACTATCGAAGAAGCGCTATAATTTACACTTATTGCCAAATCTTGCTAGGGAGGAGGTTGGTCAGCACTATATACTTTTACATGCAACTAGTGGAAGTTATATGATAGTCGCCTGTAAAAGTATAACTCATCTGGCTGTAAAATTGTACGATTTAAACTAATATTATATCCACAATATCGTTTATGAGTATTTTATAGCATACAAAGTTTTAAAAACATCTCGATCCAACCCACTTTCCAAAATGACCCGTTCATACATACATATATATGATATAATAATATATAATTTTATATATCAACAAACAGTATTGAGAAAAATAGTATGATTCACGCTCACACACATACACACGTGCGTGTGCCTGTATTTTGTGTGTATGGATGTATAGAACGAGAGGTGGACAGAAAGAAAAACAATACGTTTATATATATATATATATATATATATATATATATATATATATATATATATATATATATATATATATGGTAGGTGAGTTAAAAGTAACATCCAGATCTTATGTTATGAATATTTCTGTTGCAAATTATTGTTTCAGTTTCTTATTCCTCCCTATTAATGTTTATATAAGCATACCTTTCATTAATTTTAAACCATTTACACTGTAATTCCAATGTGTGCAATTCTAATTCTCCCTTTTATCCCTCTGCTTCACTCTCTCTCACTCTCTCTCTCTCTCTCTCTCTCTATATATATATATATATATATATATATATATATATATATATATATATTATTATTATTATTATTATTATTAAATCTCCGAATTATTATTTTGTCTCATCGGTAAATTTACCAAACTTCATATTAACTTAACCGAGTATTTTCGAATGTTGGTCCCACCGTTTGCAAGGATTGCTCTGTATGTAATTACGTAACTGTTTCTTGAAACATATTTGAGATCATTTTTGCTGTCAAAATACACCTTATATATATATATATATATATGTCTATATTTCTGAGATGAGGTATTATGTACAGTATTTACATTAGTCGGACTATTGTCCTCATCTTTGTCGCCATATTTGTCACAACGTTTCGGCCGTTGTACGCTCCGGCCTTCTTCAGGTGGTTGGAATTTCGAACTGAACCCTTTATTTCGATCACTGGGGTGAACTGTTCTAATTCCACGTGCCATGTTTGATGGATGTCAGTTATCAGTTATCTCCTGCTAATTTTCCCTCTGAAAGTTCTCCACTGCCTTAACCAGGAATTGAACTCACCTTCTTGGGTCTGTCACTGATCTAACCAACGTCTTTATCCACTGTGCCATGTGTCCTCAAGGATCTAACCAACGCCTTTATCCACTGTGCCATGTGTCCTCAAGGCAGTGGATAAAGGCGTTGGTTAGATCCAGTGACAGACCCAAAGAAGGTGAGTTCAATTCCTGGTTAAGGCAGTGAAGAACTTTCAGAGGGAAAATTAGCAGGAGATAACTAATAACTGACATCCATCAAACATGGCACGTGGAATTAGAACAGTCTACCCCAGTGATCGAAATAAAGGGTTCAGTTCGAAATTCCAACCACCTGAAGAAGGCCGGAGCGTACAACGGCCGAAACGTTGTGACAAATATGGCGACAAAGATGAGGACAATAGTCCGACTAATGTAAATACTATATATATATATATACATACATATATACTTGCAGTATAACCCGTCTTCGACCAGGAATTTTTACCGTTCAGTTGGGGCAGTTTAAGTTTAAAGTTAGCCCACCCGAAAATCAATATTAGTAACAACAATTGGGTGCAACTGAGGCACATCCCCAAATGGGGGTGGGGGGTAGAAATTTGGGTGGGGGTTTGAAATGGGAACTGTATAATAATAAATAATATTATTGTATGAATTTAAACTAATTCTTTTTATTAAAGTTTTTTAGAAAGATCTATATCCAAAAAGAGACAGTAAATGGTAAAACGTTGCAGACAGTTATAATGGACTGGAAGTAGTGGAGAGTCATTGTCGCCAATAATTTGGACTCAAAACCGGCACTGGAGAATTATCTATCAAACAAAAAAATTCTTCAAAATCCGGTGAAAACTTTGGAAATCCTTAAACAACATCCGATCACACATATTTTTGAGAATGATATATATATATATATATATATATATATATATATATATAGAGAGAGAGAGAGAGAGAGAGAGAGAGATCAGAGATATATATATATATATATATATATATATATATATATGTGTGTGTGTGTGTGTGTGTGTCTCTGTGTGTGCGCGCGTGTGTTTGTATGAACGTATTGGTGTGTTTGGCCAGTCGTTTCTCTTTAATGTGTTTCGTTAAAGAAAACTCTCAAGTTACTTTTGTTCAGTTTTTTATAATATTTTTTTATTGTATATAAACGACTGTAACGTTTTGACGATTATTTACACTGATTAAGCCCAGAAAAGAAAACACTTGTTTGCATAGAAGCAAAATATAATAAAACTGAACAAAAATACCTTGTCAACAAGACCTACTGACAAAGGTGCAAGAGTGTCGTGGGCTCCCCTCTCTGAATCTATGATACCCCACCCCTACTTTACTATTTTCATAAGATAGTATTCAATTAAATACAAAGTTGACTGTAAGTAACATCATTATGTACAATAATTGATCATATGCAAGAGAGGTGAGCAATTTCACTAGGAAAACTGAAAATAAATGCAATGTATGTAAATAGAAACTAGACATGCCATAACAGAAAATCAACAGTGTTTTGCTGCAATTTTTAACACCATCTCCATGTTTTTCTTATTAAAACATTGAATAATTTTAGCATATTCAACATTACGTATAAAAAATGGTGGATTTTATAAAGTGTTTTTTCGAAACTTAGTATGAACAAAACAAATTCTCGGATTTAGACGCAAAAAAAAAGAATAACAACCAGAAAATGTCCTCAAAATCCGCAAAATTTCATCCGTTTCTACTAATAGTTTAGGTTAACGTATATTAATGTAGGTTAGGGGTTCGGGTGTAGTATGCACCAGCGCTACTTGTCAATCTTGTTCAGCAATATATATATATATATATATATATATATTATATATATATATATATATATATATATATATATATATATATATACAGTATATCTTCATTCAAACATGTTCGACAAATATGTAGACACTATATTCAATGAAACACACA